TGATGTACTCATCAGGATGAAATCACACCATATCAAAATCAATAGATACAGAATCAAAAACTACATAGGAAAAATAGGTTTTGATCGTGGTTCCACAATATCGAGTGTTCCATAAACCATAAGCAATAAATCACCATAGAACAATATTAGAATCCATTTTGAATGTACTCATCAGGATGAAAATCACACCATATCAAAATCAATAGATACAGAATCAAAAACTACATAGGAAAAATGGGTTTTGATCGTGGTTCCACAATATCGAGTGTTCCATAAACCATAAGCAATAAATCACCATAGAACAATATTAGAATCCATTTTGAATGTACTCATCAGGATGAAAATCACACCATATCAAAATCAATAGATACAGAATCAAAAACTACATAGGAAAAATGGGTTTTGATCGTGGTTCTCCAATATCGAGTGTTCCATAAACCATTAGCAATAAATCACCATAGAACAATATTAGAATCCATTTTGAATGTACTCATCAGGATGAAAATCGAATCATACCAATATCATTGTGTACAGAATTAAAAACTACATAGGAAAAATGGGTTTTGATCGTGGTTCTCCAATATCGAGTTTACTTTGCAATAAAATAGCTTTTCTCTCTACTTTTTGTCACTTTTTTCCCGTTAATTCAGCAAAAACACGTCGCATCAAAAAACCGATTTCATATTCATAATCAGCATGTTGAGTTCTATCAGAAATGATTTGTTTCATGGAAAAAAAATTCTAAGGCCATTATCTCGAAAACGGCTTCGAATATAAAAAAATGGTTAACACTATGATATTTTTCATGCCATTTTACATTTAAAAAATTCAGTTTGAAATAAATCTATTTTTAGGCATTTTTCCCTATTCTTTCTGTCCTCCTCCTTACGACTCTCTTATTGTCAGGTCTATTCTGATACTGATGATGATGGTGATGGTGATCAGGAGGAGGTTGTTGTGAGGATAAAAAAGGGAAAGTAAAAGACAAGATGCTGATAATTTTAGAGTAAAAATTGGTATGATGAAAATTGAAAAGCATAGTTAAATTGTGAAACCAGCAATTAACGTTTTTCAATTCAATCAAACAACACACTTTTCACTTTCTACTGTTGTATTATTGAAATGATCATTGCTTCAACCAACCCTCATTTTCCCGCTTTCATCTTTTGCATGAATTTGCGTATTATATCAATAATGAAAGAAGATAAAAAAGAGTTGAAATTTGCAAATTAACCATGACCAAATCAATTTAGCTTGGTTTCCTTAAATCTAATAGACTAATTGTTAGCTTCCAGTTATTTTTGCTTTTTATTGTGTGTTGCCCTCTTAATCATCAGCAATTCCTTTAACTGACTCACTGATCAGCCATCTTTGTTTTTTTTGTTTTTCGCTCCATTTTCTTATTCACTTTTATTTATTTTCAAACAGTTCATCTTTTGATTCACTTATCTGTCTTTCCTTTCGCTTTATTTTTCTCTAATCTTTCGTTCTATAATTGTGAAATAATTCATGTCTATCCGTTTAATGCTTTTTGTCTTCTTTGTCATCTTTAACCATGTCTTCACCATCTTCACTTCACATATCAACCAATCTTAGAATTGTTCAGATTTTCCTGTCATAAGATATCTTACATTCATCTTTCTACAATCATCTATAAAAATGTGATTTCCATATGTGATTTTATCTAATTCTGTATTTTAAAGAAAATTTAGCTTTGAAAATAAGCTTCTCTCTAAAGTCAAATTTTGACTTGCAAAAATGACTGTCAGATGTAAATGTCACTGTACCAAGGTAGGATTTTTGGATATTTGGTTACAAAAGTGATTCTAATGGTGTCAACTTTGTGATTTTCAATTGTTTTTTTTGTTTCTACCTGTAATCTTCACTGTGGTTAATAACAAATAATCTATTGCCATATCTCTATCTTTTTTCTGTCTCATCTTCAGCATGGACCTGGACACAAAAGTCTCTCAAGCAGTACGACTACAGTTTACAGTGACAAAAAAGCTCAGTTTATTCCAGTTACCCGGTTAGAGGATGCCCAAGCTATCCGAGCTGCTGAATTTCATCCAAACGGTAAACTTTATGCCATTGGATCTAACTCTAAAACATTAAGAGTTTGTTCATATCCATTGGGCAATGAACTTCGAGCAATAAAGTAAGCAAGTTGTCCAGTTAGCTGAGATATTCAGTCTCACTGTTTGACTGGTTTATATTTTTTAAATCAAATTCTTTTGATGTTATTAGTTTCGCAACTTTGCTAAATTGTGTTTTTTTTCTGCATTTTTTAGAGAGGGTCATGAACCTTATCAGCCAACTGTTCTCTTCAAGCGATGCAAACACCATAAGGGATCAATCTATTGTTTGGCTTGGAATTCTTCTGGAGATTTACTTGCTACTGGATCAAATGATAAAACTATCAAATTGATGCGCTTTGATGCGGATAGATGTGATATTGTTGGAACTGAAGCTGAGCTTACTATGCATGATGGAACTGTCCGAGATCTTTGCTTTATGGAAGACTTGACCAATGGCTCCAATCTATTGATCTCTGGTGGTGCCGGTGACTGTAAAATTTACATTACAGACTGTGAAACCGCCACACCTTTCCAGGCATTATCGGGTCATTCAGGTATGTATTTTATTCCGAACAATTTTTTCCCATGTAATTTGACATGCTTTTAATTCTTTGACTTTCTATTTTTTATTCAGGACATATCCTTTCTCTTTATACTTGGGGTGGTGCAATGTTCGTTAGTGGATCACAGGATAGAACCATTAGATTCTGGGATCTTCGAACTCGAGGATGTGTTAATCTAATCACTGCTCCACCAGCAGCAGGATCAATCCATGGTAATGATCCAGTTACTTGACCGTGCTACTAAGAAAACTTCAAATTATACGATCACACAGAAAAATGTGCCATCTTCGTTATTCGAAATGTTTCCATTCTCTACTCCAAAACGCTATATTTTGATTACATCCAATCTCACCTGATTAGAATTTAACTCTAATCTTACCTCAGCTAGGATTGCGAAAATTAGCTTAAAATGGTCCATTTTTTAGTTTCTGCTATTTTAATTCCGTTTTCTTATCCATCCGAATCTGCATAAGTCTTTCAATTTCGTTTTAGTTTTGTATTACTATTACATGCATCATTAAGCTAATAGTATGTTCCAGACTAATCAA